TAATTTTCAAATATCAGAGCCTTTATCTCAATTATTTTCATTTTAGGCCTCTATTTGTAATTATTTTCATTTTTGGGTCTTTATTAATAAATTCTCCTAGAATATAATTGAAATTTTTTTTTTTTTTTTAATATTAAGGTGATCACTTAGAGGTCTGGCACATTTTATTAAACTTTGATTTGAATGTCAAGGCAACCATATAGGCTACCCCTGACTTTGTTATATTCACGAGGTTACAACTAGCCATATGTATATCTATTTAAGCAGTCTTGCATATATAAGTCATATGAACTACACTAGATGCTATACCTATAAATCAACTAAGGGATTATCTATTTAAACCCTCTGATTAACTTAGTATCGTTGGATATTCTCCTCAAAGAAGAACTGCTGAGAAGGCTCCTTAAGACTTTAAAGCGAACACATACTTCTTTATAGGAGAGTTCTTTATCCTTATAATAAACCTACTAGAGCAGTCCATGTTCTATATATGTATCACCTAGATTTTCAATAACTTACGCCTAGGCTGAGGCCAAGTACTTTTGTGGCTTTTTACCTCCGCTACCATTATCTACTCTGTGCTCTTGCAATGTTCATCCAAACCCCAGCACTCACTATATAGACTATCTTCTGTATACCCGTTGTTCCAAACTTCCAATTCAGATGGCCCAGAAGGGCTGTGATCTGCTCTTGATCCTCACGATTGGGTCCTTTTTCTCTGGTTACTTTCCAGCAGCCTGGTTGGTAGAGTACTTTGCCAAACACTTCGGTTCTGTTCGGTTCTCCAATTTTCTGGTTGATAATTCTTTATATAGTATTGTCAAAGATTTGTGCTATCTTTCTACTTGAGTCTTGCCAAGCGAGCTTCCATGTGCGCTGATCTCAGATTTATATGACTGCTTCACTCGGGTTTCATATAACTTATATATTATACTATTGTTCTACAGTCTCTTAGTATGAGCTGATGTGATCTAGTTACAGATGTCGATCTGCTCTTATACTCACAGTTGCCGTAACACTGTACTGAGAATTCAAATTTTTGTCGCTAGTAGGATTCGAACTCTGTTCTTGCTACTTGGGAGTGTGCCAACTTCACCGCTTCACTAAGTTGCCACACCCTATATAATTGAAATTTAAATGTGAGTATTAATTGTTTTAAGTAAATATTATATTTCAAATAATTATTTTTAGATAATAATATGTAATGCTTATATTTTTTAACAAAGCTAACAAGTCCTTATCTAATCATTTGTATTCTAATCAGTAGCAGAAAGCTAGTTTAGAAATTGATTCGAGTATTATAAAATAATTCCTAGATTGAAATAACATCCTATAAATAAAGTGTAAAAAATTAATATTAAAAAATATATTGAGATTATAAAAAAAAAAGATATAGATTTTGATCAGGAAAAAAAGCTTTTCTGGCATGATATTTTATTAGTGTTTCTTTTTTTTATAATTCAGCAATCCTGCCTCTGTTTATTTGAGATTAAGCTATTCAAGAATTATACATTTCTATCTTTCAAGACTTATACATTTCTATCTGTAGCTATTGCTAATCTAACCAAACAAGAGACTCACTCTCGACTTTTTATCGGCCAGGTGCGACCTGCCTCAGTAGATCTTGGCCTCCCTTCAGATCCTTAACTCACTAAGGATTTATTCCCTTTGGTCATTGGCTAGCATCTACCTGCTATATCAAGACTGCCAACTTTCCCTTCTAAATTTTTCCTTCTTCTCAAAGGGCATGAGATGAAAAGTGGAAAGTTTAAAAACAACTAAATGAAAAAGAAAAAACAGAAAAGAAAGAGAAAAAGAACAAAAAAAAACAAAAAGAAGAAACAAAAACACAGATGTCGAAAAAAGAAAAATGTAAAGACAAAAGTAAAAACAGTATGATAGCACTCATTATGCCTGTGCTATGTCCTAAAAAATTATACATTAATTGCAACTATTAATATATTTCAATTGTAAAGCATTACTTTATCATTAAGTACTCGTTCCAGACACGTCACCCAATTTGGGTATCTCTTAAATAGGGCACCGGTCTTCTTCCTATATCATAGCACCGTATTCGATAAATAAAACAAACACGTGATTGCATTCTACTGAGTTCATCCAAATTAGGTAAGTGTAAACACTGCCGATCTTTTGTAGAGGGTGAGCCAAATCGCCCACTTTTTTCGAAAAATTTAGATATTCGGCAAAAGGCGAAAGAGGAGAAAAGATCCATTGTACCAACAAAAGGAGCGTGTATTCTTTTATTAAAATCACTAACAATTCAGACCTATCCATACACAGTACTAAGTTTTTTCAGTGAGTGATAAACTCTAAGCTTGTCGGCAAGTAGCATATGAGAACTACTTCTAAACGACAAGTGCCGTGCCTGCAGTAAGTGATAAACTCTGAAGCTATTAGCAGGTAGCATATGAGAACTATCTCTAAATAATAGCTGCTGTTCTTATGGTCTCTCTTCCTGCGTCTCATAGGCTAGTTCAGATATTTTTGTTTTTTTTCCAATAAAAGTTTTTAGAAAATTTTGGTCCAAGTGATTGTTGGAAAGAGTTGACTGATTTTATTAGTGTTTTCAATTTTAGCAATAAATATATAACTTATAAAATTGTCATTTATCTTCAATTTTGTTCTAATAGCACTGTCAAAATTATAGGTTTGAATGCTTTATATTCATCAATGGATTTTAATAATGAATAAATGCCTTGTATATATCTTTTTTTAACTCCAATTGTATCAATTATAGTTACTGACTGCAAATATTTCATCAGAATTACCATCTTAGTATATTTTTTAATAGCCTATAAATGTCCTTTCTCAATTCCAATTTGGTATTGATAATGGTTATTGAATACAAATATATTATCGGAATTACCATTTTAGCAGATTCTTGATAGTGTATGAAGACTTTATATTCATCTTTCTCTATTCTAATATCATTTGATAACTAAATATAACTCTAATATCCTTTATTATATCTGATCCATTATTATAAATGAGTGCCTTATATTTATAATTTTCGATTACAATTCTATTATAATACGATAAAATTAACCAAATACATGAAGGGATCCAAATAGGTTTCCAAAAATAAAATTGCAACAGTAGTCTTTATGTCTTTTTATACATTATCATTATGCGATATTTGCACTTGACCAATCAAATTATTATAAGCTGCAATCATGTTTGAATCGATCTATTGCTATTATATCAAATGAATAAATATTAAAAATTTAGTAATACAAGTTACTTTCATTATAGTGAACTCTCAATATAATTAAAATCTCAATATAGTGAAGTTAAGCTCGAGCCAGTTTATATAAAATTCTCTCGATATAGTGAATTTACTAATAAATCTCTCGTTATAATGAATTTTTAAAAAATTTTTATTAATGGAACAGATTAGTTATAAAATACGATAAAAAATTTGGTAGTACAGATTACCTGCAGCTATAACAATACTGATATTTTTTGATGTTTTGCTATTTATATATTCCAAGGTTTAGTTACATAAAATAATATAAATAAAAAAAGTTAAATCTATAAATCCACTGATCCAGAATTTTATCTCTTTTTTTGTTACAAAAGTGTGATGTTCGCTAAAGACTATTTTAAAGTCTTTACCACCTTAAAATTAAATAGTTTTATATTAGATCTGTTCTAAATACTAAAACAAATTGAAATATAAATAAAAATAAAATTAGCAAACCTTTGTTTTTTAATAACTGTATTTTTTAGATTACAAATAATCAAGTTAAAATATTCAAAAAAGTAAATAAAATTTGCAATACTTCAAAAAACTAAAATTTGCTGACTTGAAATTTATATTATAAAAATTTTGATTCATTTCTATTATTAAGAACAATAATCAAAACTTATAATTTTAAAATCTAAAAGATAAACAGCTTATTAAGAAAGCTTCAAGAAAATTGAAATCTAAAAATGTAATATGGTTTAAAAAAATAAACTATATAATTTGAATATTTATCAGCTTATTAAAAAAATAATTATTGTAAATATAATTAAGTTGACAGTTTTCATAATTCATTATTTCTCTGATTGCATATGAATTTTGATTTGAATTGTCACTATCTTTAAGTGTTTGCTGAAAAAAAAAGGATGATTGCTGGTGATTCTTTTTTTTGATTGCAAAACAAGAGAATAAACTTAGTCCAAACTTTTTATGTGTTTCTATAAACTCTGAAATATGATAGACCAATACATGTATATATGGTGTAATATCTAATAGCTGATATAATCCTTCCTCTAAAACAATATTTGGATTATTAGGATCAATAAGATCTGGTTAAAGAAAATATATTTTCACTCTTTAGCATTTAAAGCAAGTTGTGTAGAATTAGTGTTCAAATTTTTAATATTATGATATAATTAGTCAAATTTATTCTATAAGATTCTAATCTTTTTAGCCTGATTTAGTGGTAAAATTGCTGACAAATCAAAATTTTGTAGCATCTTAAGCTTATCTTGGCCAAAAAGTAAGATATATTGCCATTTAGTTGTATTTTGGTTCTTCCAAAATTGAAACTTCACTTTACATTTTCTCATTTTATTACAGATAGTTTCATATATATCATTATTGAATTCTTCATTTTGTTCTAATTCAGAAATTAATAAAGACTATAATCGATCAGTTATTCTAAACATAACATGAAGTTTATCTGGAACCTATTTATTTAATAGTATTATTAGAAATAATAGTGCTCGAATATGTCTTGGATAAGTCAAATAATTAGATGTAATTAAATTCATATCCTTTTAATTGTCCATAATCAATTTTTTAAACTACCAAATTCTGTCTTTTTACATTAACACTAAGGACAAAAATTAATAAAATTCGCTATGTTGATGTCTAAACATAATGCTAAAAATTTCTAATCTGAAGAAAAATATAAATTGATTTTCCAATTAATTCTATCATTATCAATAAAACCAGTTTCTTGTAATTCATTTAATTCTGTAACAAGTAGCTATATTGCATTTTTTAATAACTTATAGTTTTCAATACTAGAATATATAATTATAGTATAATAATTGTCTGGTTCTTTTTGATCCAAAATAGCAAAGGCTATTATTATATGCTTAATCTTATTTTCTATATTGTGACCATCACCTGAGATTCGTATCTTAATAACAGATTGTAAAGAATGAAGAATTCCAATATTTACTAAGTGAGGAAGTATATACAGAAGTATATCTTTAATATTTCATTATGCTGCCTTTTCGTCTTGGTTAACAAGATTGAACATATTAATTGGTATAAGATTTGCTATTTTTAAGGTTAAAGCTATATATTAATTAGAGATTATATAATCACGAGATAGTTCTGGTTGAATATAGTATGGGACAGCTTATTCCGACAACTATTTTATAAAGGCGGCCAAATTTCAAAAATCTGCACGATCATGTGCACATGCATGTAGCCAATCATATATTATGCTAAACATAGTAAAGTTTTATATACGATAATAAACTTTTTATTTAGCAAAGTAATTTCTTTATTTATTATTTATAATAAAGCCTATAAACAATACAATAAATTTTATGATAATATAGTTTCATTGATTTGGCGATGGCTTTTTTGTTTATGAACAGCATATTTAGCAACTTCTCCTGTTAGCACATGTCTATATGCATCCATCCATCGAAAACTTCGTCGAGCATATACACAAATTTGTTCTACTGGAACTGAATCCAAAGCTTTAGAAACAGTTTGGCAAAGATCTTTCCAGAAATAATCACAGTGCATTCTTGTATATGCTTTTGTAGCACCCCAATATATCTCTATATAATTAAATTCTGAGTGAAATTTGTGATAAAAAATTACTTTATGTCCTTTTTGTTCTAATTCCTCTTAAATTAATCCTCGTTGGGCCTTAAAATCTGGTTGATTAGCAAGTATTTGGCGGGCACAACATTCTGCTTCAGTATGTCCTTTTTTGCAGGTTGCTATTAATCTTTCTCACCATAATCCACACTTCTATAAAACAATCTTCATTCCTTAATTATAAATAAATAAATTATGCAAATTTATAAATTTTAATATAAAATTTAAAATACTATATTCGATATAGATGTTACTAAGAAAAAACCTATAATTTTAACAATAGATTATTATAAATTTTATAATAATCTATTTTTATTATTGTAGATTTTTTCTTAATAACAATTATCTAAAATTTTTTTTACTTTTTGCTTAATCTTGTAAACTAATACCTAAATCTTCTGAGTCATCTGTATAATTCAAAGGAAACACCATTTCTTATACATGACCATTTCAAATAGTTGAACACATCTTTGGTTGTTGGCCTCTGGGGTTTAAGTTTATTTTATAAGCATTCAATGCATTTGGTACCATTATAGTATGAATTGTTGAATTATCAAATGCCTATACGTCAACAGTTCCTAGGTGTGTTCTCTCAAAAATAAGGACAGCTTTGTGTACTTGATCTAATAACCTTTCACTATTTCAATATTCATCCCGATTTGCTCCCAATGCAATCATAACCTGTGCTTCCTCTTCATTGTCCTTTAATCATCTAATTTCCTCAGTTAAAAATTCACTAACATGTAAACCCGCACCTAACACTTTTTTTCTTAAAGGTTGCTCATTTTGTGGTTTCCAAAAAAAATTTGTTCTATCATATGCATGAAATTTTGACTCATCATGTGTTACTAAAATATGAGGCTTTTGACTTTGATATAATGTTGGCAATGTTTTTATCTTACATTCTTTGTCTAACCACTTAGACATTAATAATTCAAACTTAGCCATTTGGCTTAAAAATTCATTTCTATAGGCAATTACATCAGGGCGCTCATAGCCATCAATATATTGTTACAAAGTAGATTTTTAGTATAGATTTTATTAAACATTATTTAGTTATTTTTAGTTATTATTATTCA